ACATATAAAACTCTATAAACAAATATTAACAATATTATACCTTTGCTTGGAATTATTCGTACATCGCAAATCATATGGATTGTGTGTTGTATATAAAGCTCCCAAATTTAGTGTCAGACATATTTTTGTTTGAGTATATCCTATCTGATATACCGTTGGTTGAAACATTATGTATTTTGTAATGGTGATCTTAGTGTAATTTGTTAAATACTGGTTGTCCTGATACTAAAATTGTCCCTGATATTTTTGAAACAATGGGGCTAAAACAAGTCGTACATCAGCCGACTAGACTGCAAACATTATCGATTATATTTTAACTACAAATCGAAGTTCGATTCATTATATTGTCCTGTAATATCTTGATTTCAATGACCATGAGTTGTTGATATCTAAAATCAGCATAGAAACTCAAAAAAAAAATTGTTTATAAAACTGTCAGAAACTTCAAGGCAATAAACCATACCATACTTTATAAACAATTACAATCTCTACCTTGGGGAATATTTTTGATATTGCAAGTATTGATGATAAAGTTGAATTTCTGGATCGTCATATAACCTATAAAATTTCGGAAACTGATGCACCGTGGATGACTGATACTTAACGTATTATAAAAAGAGAAAGGGACAAAGTACTGAGTACGTACAAAAAATAGAGATATTTGGGATTTCTTAAAAATGATAGGTCTTTGAAGGGATACTCAAAATACTACGCAACTATCCGAACATTTAAGTGATATTTCTGCAATAAATGAATACTTTATAAATTGTATCCCTCCCATGATCCTGATTTAACACTTAACCATTTTTATACTACTACTTATCGTGTAGAAATGGGTGCAATTTTTTTGTGTCCAAAAATGACAATTAAAATGTCATTAAAATTATCAAGTTTAGATATGATTTAGAAAGAGTTTCTCAATGTTCTTCTAGCCATTTTCTTCGTCTTAATAATAACAAATATGTAGGTATGGTGTTTGGTCCAGTGACAGAAAAATAAATATTTCTAAGAGATTTTGCTCATATGGTCACCATTGATAATTCTTCAATAGAATTTAAGGCAACTGTAAAAACTTTTTTGCATCTTTTTTGGGCTCCCAAATTAAACCTGGAATTTATATTCCATTCTCGTCACATATTGACCAAAGTCTTAAAAAATTGCTGTTCTACCTTTGTGTAATCACACTTTAATTATTGTGATACTATTTATAATGCATGTATTACAGAACGTGATAGTTATCGTATACAAAAAATGCAAAACTCTTGCATGCGTGATATTCGTAGAAATCAACAAATAAGTTTCAAGAAACAGATGGTTAAAATATGAAACTCAGGCGACATTTTCATTCATCTTGTCAATTTTAAAAAAATTTTATTTTTAAAAATCCGTATAACTTTATAATAAAATCAAATTTTGTACTAATACATACACTATTGACATTAGACATAAAACACCATTTCTATATCTTATAATCATACAAAGCAATACAAGCAATTCTTTACTTATCATATAGACCATGTTGTGATCCTTATACTACTGCTATCAATTTTGTTCAAAACAAATTTAAAAAGTTCGTTTTTGAAAAATTAAGAAATATTGCATAGGTAGGGTTTAATAACATAGCATTAGTAAAATTTAAGTCCCTTTTACAGCTTGCAATTATTATACCTGCAAGATGCAAGAAAGTTGCCTAGAGGCATGCCCAGTATGTCGTCAGCTGATTATTTCCTGCAACTTTTTGCAATTGCGCGATATTCGGTTTGGTGTCATTTTCTCTGCAAGTTTTTGCAGTAATAATAATACTTAAGGTTGCTGCTACTGCCTTTTTCCTATTATATTTGGCTATTCTAACAGTCTTGGCATTTCGAAATTTACTAAATAGTACTAAATAAACAGCAATAAGTAATTAAATCGCTTATTTAAGAAACAACATAAGTCAAATTCGTCAAAATTGCAGGAGATGTAAAAAAACGTTTAGAGAGTTTATCTGAACATTTTCACTAAAAGTGAAGTTTGAAGTTAATAGATTACACCTAATATAAGAGTTTATCAAAAACAAAAGCATTCTAAATCGTTACTAAACTCATTAAAATAAACATTTATAAAATGGTCTTAGGTTGTTTCAGTAGTGAAATGTCAGGTTTCAAAACAAAAGTCTTTTTTACTAAAGAACTTTAATATCATACAGTCTTATTAATAAAAATTGCTTTGTCCGAAGTTAGTCTCGGACTAGTTAGTCCCAGATTAAGCGAGTACTAACTTCATTTTCAAAATGTTATTAATAAACATGGACTAAGCTCAGACTAACTAAACCTTCCTTAGTCCTAGGTACAACAAGTTTATGTTGGCAACCATTGCGAAAAAGAAGAAAAATGGAGAGAATTTTGTGAAAAAGAAGAAAAATATTTGAGAATTTGACAGTTAGCATAAGTTGGGGCACGTAGAGTTAATTTTAGTTAGACTGTGTACTGTGTTCTGAGAAAGTTTGTTTATATTTTATAGTATTTTTTTTATCTGAAAAGTTTAAACTTCATAAAAGTTCAGGAGGAAACTTTAAAAAATATTTTATTATAAAGGGAAAATATAAAAAATACTAATAAACATAATGAATTGTAAAATATTTTATTAAATAAATTTTATATATTTTAATATGTCTTAGATGAATATTATTTCACTGATTTCTATGGACATTAAGTTGTTCTATTAATCTTAAGTCGTTGATAAAATAATCTTCCATTATTAAATAATGTATGAATAATCAAAAACAATTCAGGTTATGAACACCAAAACAAAACTCCACTCAATGTCAAATTGTCAAGTTAGTCACTCTCTAAACCTGCCACTACCTCGGATTAAATGTTAGTCCGAGACTAGCCAAGGTTTAGCTTAGTCTGTCCTTAGTCGCTGTTTATTAATACGAAAAATGAATGTTATTGGTGTAGTCCTGGGACTAATGTTAGTCCAAGGTTAGTCCCTGTTTATTAATAAGAGAGTTTGAGTTTATTTCCTTGGTTTTTTTTCTTAGTTGATGTGTGAATAATATTTTTGTAAAATTCCTTCTCCAATAATTGAAAAAGTGTGGTCAAATCTTCTTTTTTGGCCTCTAGTATTCTCAGTATACTCAGTACTCTGAAATTGGGTCTTTATACGCCTTTTGGTTTAGCATTTTAACTGTGACATTGCTTGTTTTTTAAATGGAAACATTAAAAGTACTCCATATCGCACCATTAATGTATTCACTAGCTCGAATATTGCCGGGAGCATCAACACTGCAGACAAAATGATGCAATTTGGAAATTGAGAACTAAATTCGTTGATCGCTTGTTAGCTTATGTGTCTCGGTTGACGTATACACAGAATTATAATACCTAGGCCACCAGCCTTTAAAATTTATAATACTTTCCTTTTAATTTCACAGATTGTGAATCCAATAAGTGGGATAGTGGGTTCATCACTAGAGAGAACCATAATGGACTCTTTTAATCATAGGCCATAGAACCATAAGCCCCTTTTAATTGCGATATTTTCTGTTTCGATATTGTTTTCACCAGGTATTTGGAGGTGAATTTTAGTCTTCCAATCTGTCATTATATATCTTAAGAAGGTCACTATATTATCGACATATTCTTAATAAATCTACCAGCCATTGGCAGTGAAGGGGGTCCTTTTTTTGGTGTATACCTGGTTAGAAATGACCGAGTCGATATAAGTTGTTCTTTGCAACCAATTGTAACCAATTTATACAGAGTTGGAAGACAAGTAACTGGATGGTACTTGGCTGGATCTTGGGTATTATTTTGATCCTTCGGTATTAAATAAGTTGTTCCCTGAGTTAGGAATGATGGTATATCCTGCAGATTAGAAATAAAATGATTAGTGTTGGCAAGCACTCATGAGCACACCAAAACTTTTGGTGTGCTCATGAGTGAAAGTTTTGAACTCCGTCTGGTCCAGGAGATTTCCACTTATGAAGTTTGATGATATTAGAGACTTCTTCTGTGGTGAAGGGTTCGTAGACAGTTATATACGGTAGTGTTGACAGCTGTGCATCGTATCTTCTATCCCTCTAGCATTGGTGTTAAGAGCAGCTGGTGTGGAAAGTTGGTTTCCCCAAAACTCCTGAATTTCTTCTTGGCTTGGGTATGATTTATTGGCACTTTCGACACGACATGCTCCCAAAAGGCATTGTCACATTTCCTGCTGTTACTAACTTTATACCTCCTTAGTCGTCCTGAATGAACGGAAAGTTTTTGTTTTAATGTATCCAGACACTGTTGGGCTGTGCTGTTTTCTGGATCATATTGCTAGTATCTTGCAGTGCTCAGCATTATTTGATCAGCTCTTTTAATGACTTTTCTACTTGTTATTCCTTGTATTTATACCGTCATTTGACCAAAGTCTAATAATGAATCCAGATAATAGAATCTAGAATATAAGAATATATAGATTATAGAAGAATAATGAATTATTATTATTATAACATGACTGAAAATCAAAAAATTAAAAACGCCAAAATTAATTTAAATCACAGAACTATCGCAGTCTATAATGTTAAAATACTTTGTGATAAACGTTTTTATCGTGTTAAAACTTTTTATTAACAACTATTGTAAACATTTGGAAAAACATAATTTTCGAGGTTTTATTTATTCAAGTCTTTTATATACTCCGAGAAAAACTTGCGCTTTTGACTCTTTTTTTATATAATTGCCTTTTCCTACACAATCTGATATTATATGCGAAGAAAATTATACATTACACAATCGAAAAATTATAATATATCGTTCTAAGTAATAAACAACTTGCTTCAATATAACAATATTGATATTTTTGTTCGAGTTAAATTCTTACTAATATACTTGATCTCCGCCTCTGACTTAAACTGGAGCAGAGATATTTATAATTATGTGGAGATCTGGGAGAATTTATTTTTAGTAAACTCTCCGAAATAAGCACCTTACCACTACACCAATGCAATCCAACGTATAGTAACTTTAAACTTTTTTACAGATTCAACCGTATGGCGTGAGTAGCATAGCCGGGCACAAGACAGTTTAAAAGAAATATGGCCGCCTTGAGATGGATCTAGCGGAAGTGGTTGAAGATTTGATTTGCACGTTTGATGGTTCAGGAGATACTACCATGGATACCCTAGCGATGTTCGTTTTCGGCTGGATTCTAGCCGCCTTATTCATTCTCTGGTTGGGAAAATTACTTTACGAGAAGTTCCAGAACAGACAAAAGACTCAGTCGGAAGCCAAAGCTAAGTTGATAGAAGCTCCCGCGAAAACAACTGATAGCATCGATGCGGAGAAGGTTGTGAAAAAAGTGTCGGCAGCTCCTTTGGCTGCTCGAAGCGGTGGAGGTTATGTTCCTCCGACACCTCCGGTGAGGAAACGCTTGACGAGACAAAGCCCCGCTCCGGAGAGCCGGAAACCGAGGTACATACCGGCCCCCCAGTGTACCGGACCTGATAATGTGTGTGTGTTGTGGGTCAATGATGTGCTGCAGTGGTTGTATAATGACTTTGTCATCGTTAACGAGTTACTTGGTGTTTGGATAGCCGCTCTGAACGAGTATACGAAGAAATCTGGTGCTGAGGTGAGTTGTATTTTTTTTAAGACAATTTCTGCTATTGAAACATTCTTTAAAGTGTTGATTTTATAAGCATTACCAGCTTATTGACTTTAGTTTAAAGCGAAGCATAAATTTTAAAAGTTAAATGCTCCGAACATTTTTGAATTTCCTAATTATAGAAAATATTTTATAACGTAATGAAAACTATCGATTGAACAGAATAATAATAAATTTAAAAAAAAAAACGCGTAGAATATGTAATATTAACAAAAAAAAAATGTGAAAGTTAACCACTGAGTTACATACCCTATTATAATGACATCCACAATTCTCCGAGGCATACTTTTTACCAAGTTCTGACAAAATTCTATATAAACGAATCCCATATTCCTTACAACTTTTCCTTCAATTCGTTGACGGACCTGGCAGGATTTTTTCTCAAAGCTTTTTTCATTTAGCGCCACAAAGTCTCTATCGGGGATAACTTGAGACTGTTAAAAACCCATTCCAGAAGTGGTATGCCATGGTTTTCAATCCATTTGAAATTCTTTTTTGAGTTATGACAACCTGCGCCGTCCCGTTGGAAGACAAAATCTTCCACTGATATTAAACGATATTCCATAATCGGTAAAAGATATTCTTCTAAAATATCCAAATATTTGTTCGTGTTTACAATCTCATCGAAAAAATCCTACACCTTTAGAAGACATGCTATCCCAGATCATGACAGATTCAGGAAATTTGACTTTTCTCTTCAGACAGTCGAGATGGAAAGCTTCATTTTTCGTGCGAATGACGCGACTCCTAATGTCTCCAAAACACACTTCAAATCTGGACTCATCACTCCACTATATTGAATCCCATTGCGACTAATTCCAATCTTTATGCTCGTTTGACCATCTTAGTCTATTTTTCTTTTGTTGTAATGTTAAAAGTGGCTTTTGCTTAGCCTAAAATAAAATGAAATTTATTAAAAACAATTCCTACTATTTTTTTCAACTATAAAACTTACTTTGTAAGTATCAAATCCTAATTTGTGGGCCTCTCGATGAAATATTGATCTAGAAACGTGTCTTCCAATAACGTCAATCCATAAAACGTTTAAGTGCATACTCCATAACCTCTTCAGTGGTAGGTGGTCTTTCGTTTGAGTTGAATAGATTCCATTCATTTCGCTCTGCTACGGTGTTATCCATTGTTATCGGTGTCGAAGAAAGACGAAACAGAACAGATCGAACTTCGGACAGTTTCAAAAGTTTGAACAAAAACGTAAAGAAAGAAATTAGGAACAATCATAGAAACTATACTAACAATATAATAAAAGATATAATACAAGATAACTGCAATATAAAAGTACTGAAATCAAAAAACTCAAGCGGCATAACAAAAATCATAGAAATAAAAAGTGAGAAAAACGTCACCGTCCCAGGCAGAGGAAATAAGCGAGGCTATTGAAAAATTCTACACTAAATTATACTCGGTAAATACACAACCACAACAACGACGTACTGAACAAACAATAAATTAACACCGGCTCAGAAGAAATACCGGACATAACCGACTATGAAATAAAAATGGCCCTAAATCAACTAAAAACGAAGAAATGTCCGGGAGAAGATAAAATTACAGTTGAAATGTTAAAAATTGGTGGCAGAAAAATGGAACAGGTATTAAATGTTTTATTTAATAAAGTAAATGATGAAGGAAAGATTCCTCAAGTATGGTACAACGCTGAAGTCATTTTACTATTCAAGAAAGGAGGCAAAGTAAACATCGAGAATTACCGACCAATATCCTTGCTATCCGATCGGTATAAATTACTAACTAAAATCATGACCAACCGCCTAACACATAAGCTCGATTTTTGTCAACCTATCGAGCAGGCTGGATTCAGAAAACATTTTAGTACCATAGACCACTTCCACATCGTAAGAAAACTGATAAAAATGCACCGAGTATAATGTTCCAATTTATATGGCGTTCGTCAATTTCCATAAAGCATTCGATTCCATCGAATTATGGGCAGTGCTTGAATCTCTAAAAAATGCATGTATAGATTCAAGATATACTAACATAATTAAAAACATATATGAAAATTCCACCATGCATATAAAGCTGGACGAAAGCACAAAAACTAATCCCATAAGACTACAACGGGGAGTAAGACAAGGAGACACCATCTCTCCCAAACTATTTACCCTTGCTCTAGAAGACATTTTTAAGAAACTAGAATGGAACAACAAGGGTATCAACGCCGACGGATCATACTTAAACCACTTGAGATTCGCAGATGACATAGTTTTAATAGCCGTAGATACTATCCGAGAACTAAATGATGTGTTACAATAATTAAATGCAGTTTCAGGAGCGGTAGGCTTAAAAATGAACAACAGTAAAACAAAAATATTGAGCCGATACTAGATTTATATATAACAATACAAAATCATACCATAGAAAATGTTGAACATGATGTATTTCTAGGTCATGTCATCAAACTAGGAAAATCAAATCAAGATGCTGAAATTAAAAGAAGAACACAACTGACATGGGGCGCTTTCGGCCTACTAGTATATAGCTTGAAAACTTAAAGAAAAAGGTTTATAACACATGCATACTGCCAGTTTGTACCTACGGCTTGTAGACAGTAGCCCTTACCAAAAAATCTGATAAAAAATTAGACTCAACGCAAAGAGCAATGGAACGAATCATGCTTGGAATATCACTGAGAGACAAGATTAGAAACACCGAGATAAGACTTAGAACGTAGATTAGGGATATTGTGGAAGAAATTACAAAAATGGCGCTGGGTAGGTCACGTAGCCCGATATAGTGACAACAGGTGGACACGGAGAACTCTAGAATGGAGACTAAGGACGACAACAAGAAGCATGGGAAGACCTCAAAAAAGATGGGTAGATGACATAAGGGTAGTAGCAGGCAAACAGTGGATTAGATTGGCGCAAAATAGAGAAAGATGGAAGCAATTGGGAGAGACCTACATTCAGGAGTGGATGGAAAATGGTTGACAAAGAGAAGAGAAAGAGACGATGTTATCTGCTTCTTCGATATAATGGCCGTTAAATTTTGCGTCAAAAAATTCGACCCATCGCATCGGTTCAAGATTGAAGCCGTATCACTTAAAATATTTCCTTCTCCATCCTTACAGCTCCCTATTCGTGGCTTAAACTCTTTGGTCCATTGCAGTCTCTTTTTCATCATTGTGACGGTCAACTTTCATGTCAACTGTCATGTCAGAAACTGGCATCTCAGCTTCACGAATAAGTCCCTTGAGGATTTTTCGTGTTTTCTTTCTGTTGGTTACGAAGATATTTCTCATTTTTCTCTCGTCTTTGGGTATAGTGACACGGTTTCGAATGATAAAACGATATTAATATTGAAAACAAAATAAAAACAGACAAATTTAATATAACTTCCAAGCCCAAATTCAACACAATGTGTATGTTGTAACATAATTTGACACAAATGACAGTTCCAGAGCTGTCAAAGTCAAAAAAGTAAAGTTATTAGTGACAAAACATATTGGCATACTTTAATTGTATAGCAGCGTATGATTTAACTATAAAACTAGAAGAAATGTGAACAACTTAAAATTTTGTGATTGATCATAATAATTTGATCACCTACTGTAGAAAGACATTTTGTAGGTACCAAAAACGACCTTTCATTAGCCTCCTTTTCTCAATCTTATGTATTATCAGTATTATCAAGTATTATCAGTCATCCAATCCTTATTTGCTGTTTTTGGTACCGGTTGAATATTTTCGTTTGTAACTTTAGTTAAAGTTTCTTAATTGTTTCTCCAGTAATTACGAATTTCCGAGGTAGTAAGTACTTATCTTTTTTAGTTCGATAATTGTGAGTTTAATTTTCCTATAACCACTTCCTTCGTCTTTGAAACTTTCCTGTCTTTGGTATACATACTTAAATATAATATATATATATATACATATATATATATATATACATATATATATATATATATATATATATACATATATATATATATATATATATATATATATATATATATAGGTAAAGGTAAATGTTTTTTATTAGATAATATATGGTAGCTAATTATAATTTATTCTCTTTCAGCCCTGAAGAAGCCAAATTCTCTTTGGCGAAAACGTTAGGTGAAATAATTGATACACATTAGAGTTTTTTTGCAGATTTCCCCAATATTTAAGAGTTTACTATTTAACTTATCTGCAAAGATTAAATTTCTTAATTTCTTTTCTATATATATATATATATATATATATATATATATATATATATATATATATATATATATATTAATTTTTTTAGGGATCTTACTGGCCAAACAAAATAATAATATCCATTACTTATATACAGAACATTTCCATCACTCGATTTAAAGTTTTGTGAAAACTTCTGTAGAAACGTTTAAGAACAATTGACATACACTTCCCAAAAATCCTAATCTTTTTTTGAAAGGGAATGTCAGATACTAATTGCCCTGCAAAATCCGATATGAATTCTAAACATTTTGAAATTCGAATGGCAAATTGCCAATTTTTACTGCAAGTGCTTTAATCAGACCATGGGCATTATTCAAAGGTCAGTGTTTGGACCAATTTCAATTATTTAATACTTTAATAACTTGAATAGTCTATACTACAAAGATGCTGTAACTGCTGGAACGAACCACTGTTTTATTTTTTAGTATAATTCTAATTGATATATTAAGTAATTTATCGTATTTATTTATTTGATATCTGTATTTATGGAGATAATCAAATTATGCTGTAATAGTTCCCTGCTTTAGTTGTTTCAAAAATATATAAATGGACTCATTCTTCTTCTTCAGGTATATCTTCGCTAATCATCATACTATTTTAACTGTAGAAACAGGATCTGATCCAAACAACTTCCTCAAATTTCTGACCCAGGATATAGGTCTTCTCACGATATTTCTTTTGCCCACTGTTTTCTTTGCATGATAAGTCATAGAATTCTGTATCTTTCACCACGCAGTATGT